GACTGATAGCCGAGCTGGTGGTAATGGCCATGCATTCCATTGTAAAAAGAACAGAGCGCGTGGGACTGGCAAGCATGGGGAGAACGGCTTTCGATCAGTGTAGCTGATGCGTGGTGGTGTGCGGTAATCAGAAAGACGACTCACAAACAGAAGTAGCCTAGATCTGAAATATATCATTTGGTAGGCATATATTGCAACGTCTCCAAAAATTCATAGGTGGGATCATGCGTACTCCATCCGGCGAACCGTGTGGACAGTGCCCATTTTATTCGTAGTCACCATTCCCTGATCCAAAACCCAGCTCTTCCACCACTACGTTTACTCTACTCTAAACTGGATACAGAAAACAGCACTCTTTCCGGAAAACGATGATTCGACATTCGCAACACATGATCAGACCACCGCAGATTCTGGTGATGGACATATTCTTTGACAAAAGTCCCTGTTGCGCAAGTGACCACCCATTTTCTCACCACCTCGTTGAAAGTTCGTTGATACTAGTCTACGCGAGCCATGGTTCTGAAACAGTAGGTTTTTAAGACCTGAAAGTCTTTCATTTCGGGTGCTTGCGTAGGCTGGGTTTCACAAACGTACAACAATACAGCCCGTACTGTAGCCCGATACACACGTCCCCTAAGATTCAGGGGTATGCCGCTTCGCCGACATAAACGTTCCAAATTAGCAAACGGAATCCAAGCCAGAAATTTGTGCATTAGCCTAATCTGTCTCACTATGGTCGTAGCTTACACAATTTCCATGATACCTAAAACGCCCAATTTTCTTGAGTGCTTCTCCTTGAATTGTAAGTTGCGTGTTCAGTGACTGCATGCCAAGGAACATTAATTTACATTTTGTGGGTGTAAATGGATGCCAGAAAGACCCATGCCTTCGCTTCTTTTTTGAAGACCATAATGATGTCCTTTGACAAGGTTTTTTTTCAGCAGCTATTTGAACAATAGGGTTTTGAAGAATTACCAGTGCTCGTCTCATTATCTGGTCTTCATGAAAGTGAAAAGAAATAAAAAGGGCATATTCACAGGCTTTTGAAGTTATGCATCGACAGAGATGGCTAAGTGCTTGGTAAGCATGCCCAAGGGAGAATGTTAACCATAGCTGTAGAGACATCAATTATTGCTGCAAATATCTGCATAATGTCTTCGCAGCCGATCTGGTTATGGACCGAATGTCCGAGGGTGATGAAGATTGAATTTGGTACTCACTGTGTAGACAAGGGACACCGGTACTCTAGTTCTGCGATCGATCTTAAGTTAAGTTGCTTAATAAGTAAATTTACTACAAATAGCTCTGGTGATAAGTGATTTGTGAGAAAACTGATACATGATGAACTGTCGTCGAAAGGTTGTCGTTTGGGTGAATTTACCCTCAAAACTCTAGATAAGGTGGACACAATTTTCACTGTCCTTCGGAACAGCGTCCAACATTTAGTTGTAAATCAGGTCATCCGCGTTTGCGTTTTCACACAACATCCGGAGGGTAAAACCATTTCCGGGGAACAATGTGTACAGCACCTTAGAGCGTACTTTTTGTTACCCTGTTGCGGCATACATGATTAGTTGGCGACAGTGAAGCTGAAACTTCTGAACAGGTGCGCTGGGTGAGAACGGTAGCCACAAAACAGGACGTTTGGGCTAGTAACTGGTGCATAAATAAATAGGTAAACAGTTGGATAGATGAACTAAATGAGTCGTAACACAGTGAAGTCAGGTATCTGATAAGAAAAGTGAAATGACAAGGGATTGACCAACCAGTCACTTTTTGTGACACTAGTTCCTGCGTGGTTGATCGCGAGATGTGGGTAGTCCTCAGGTGGGTTCTGCATAACCCATTCATCAGTCTTTTCAGTGAAATCAACATACCTTGCATAATCCGTGTTAAAAAGATATTTTACATTATTTTGTGTCTTAGCAGCCCCGATTAGATCTGTCTGATAAAATTGGCATCATTTTTTCCAGGCGAACGATTGAACTCATGTTGCCAATGGAAACACAGACGCTGGGTTATCCTCATTCTGGCACTCATTGAATTATTTTGGTTCAGTGGATATTACTACGGTTACAACGCACTAATTCCGATTTACAAGCAACTTGGAGTTTTCGCCTCCCAATGTAAGTCAAACGAGACGGACTGTCCCCAGCAAGAAGAAATGTTCCACAAAGCATTCATCGTCTGGGTTGTGGTGCAGATGTGTGTCATCACCGGAGCTGGGTTTCTCATGGATCGCGTCGGACTGCGTGCCCTGAAATTGATCTCTGTCGGGGTGTACTTCTTGGGCACACTTATGTTTGCGTTTACGAGCGGCGGTTCAAGTGCGCTGTTCTTCATCGCCGGGATTTTTACCGCTCTGTCTGGTACTTCATTCCTTATTTGCAGCCACCAGATAAGCTCCATGTTTCCCAGATATCGTGGATTTGTAGTATCTCTTTTGTCAGGCGCTTTCGACTCCAGTGGTTTCGTGACGTATCTCATTGGACAAACAGCACCCGGAATTTCCCTGCGGACTTCATTCGTTGTACTGGCTTGTTGCGCTCTGATATACGGAACCGGCATGGGTCTATTTGCACTGAAACGATGGTCTTCTGAAATGGGTGAGGATGGAAAACAGCCCAGTGACAGCGACTTCACAACACCAGAAAAAGGGGACGCCGAGAACTTGGCAAGTCTCTTAAGGATTACACTGTTTCATCATTGGATTAGAGTGTTACTGTTGCGCTGAATACGGCATTGTCTGTATTGTCAGAGTGTATCTAACAAATGATCCGCGTGGCCTGTTAGGCGCTCGTTCTTGTAGTTCAAATAAAGGCAATACGGAAGGTTTAAGCTGGTTTTTTATCTAGACTCGTATAACCCGTATAACTGTTACTTCGTTAAACTAAATAATTCGTTAGAAAACCTATGAGGTACCTGGTTTTATATTCAAACCAAGCAACAGACTCGAGTAAGAATGCGCACTGTGTCCCCAGATTGCGAAGTGTGGACGAACTGTCTTAAGTTGGAGGCTGTGTATTCGAAACACTAACTTGGTGAGTCCGCTTCATTAAGTTCATGGTTCTGACCAATTCATCTGTATTGTTCCACAATATGACGGTTGCCAGTGGGCCAGCCCATAGCCTGCATCCCACTTGAGAACATATTGGGTCGGAAGGAGTTGTGTGAACAGAAATTGGCTAGAATGCTTTTGGTCATCTTCCTGTGGCTGAATCACATGAGTGCAGGAAAATTAAAATTAGTTTCACTAGAAATCTGACGAGAACTATCCTGGGGCACTGTAAATGTTCTGAAAAATAGATGTAATTCCCACTTTCGATCCACATTATCAATTGTTCGTACAACTCAAGATACGTTGTTTATTGCTTTTTTTATAACAACATATCCCATGTAGCTCTACCATTTTTCTGTGTCAGCACCTGCAACACTGTCTACCTCTAATTTTAGTTTTGAATGCTGTCCTGAGGTGACACAATCTGCATCTTTATTTTGTTTGACAGTCTAGCAATCGTCACTCGGTGGATACCAGGATTCAGCGGTATTTGGAAAAGCGCTATACTTCCTTCGGTCGCTGTATCAGGTCTTGGCCGTTTGTGTTGGTCACACTTTGGTTTATGGTGGCTCTACTCCGTTTTTGCTACTTCCTAACACAAATGAGCCAACAGTTGGTATACCTGTTCGGTGATGACACGGAGACCATCAAGCATTTACAGTCTATTTCGTCCGCGCTGCTTATGTGTGGGTTCCTCATCTCACCGGTTTCGGGGGTGATTCTGGACAGCTCAAGAGCCTTTTATCGTCGGCGTATGAGCCGCAGCTCAATATCCGATGATGCTGAATTGTACTGGATGAGTCTTCGTGGTATTGCCCCAGCATTTCTGATGCTAGCCGTGACTGCGGTGACTTTGAGTGGACTCAATTTTGTCAAGTCAAAGATTACGTACTATATCGCTTTTGTGCTTTTCGTTGTTTTACGATCTTTGTTGTTCAGTGCTTCCGTCAACTTTGTACCCATTGCCTTTCCGATTCAACGTTTTGGCACAGTGAATGGTTTGGTGAACACAATTGGTGGCATCTTTAGTCTGTTACAATATGGACTGATTCGATGGGAAGCAGTCCCAAGCAACGCACTGGTTACTGCGTTGACGGCGCTTCTCTTCATTTCCCCCGTAATACTTTTCTTTAAGAAGCAGTGAATGTTTCTACAATTTATTCCTTCGTAGGTGCCTAGCTTGTAACAATCTGTAATGTTTTATATTGTTTGGTGAAGATCCCACCTTTGTCTTCTGCGAGCTTTTTACATTTCCGTTATACACTGAAGCTTGTCAATTGCCATACTCCATGGTTGAGACATACTGATTTGCACACTTACGGTAGTGTTGTGTTCAGTATGAACGCAATGGCTCCACACAGAAGAATTACACGCCTGAACTAGTCCACTTGGAATTGAAATCCCGGTTCTTTACTAGAAAAAACCCTTCTCAACTTCACCTGGACTATTAAGAAACCAGATCATTCATAGGTAGCCAGGAATGAAGACTAATTCAGACGAGCCTAACTTCCACCTGAGTAGTCTCACCCCTGGAACCGGTTGATTTGAACTCTATGATTGAAGGATGAGTTGCAATTGGCTGCTCGTGGCCGAATGGTTTTGTCCAGTCTACTAGCCGGGAGGTCGTGGATTCGATGTTCCTCGGTGTTTCGTGAGCTGAGCACTGCTGGTGTTTCTCGATAATGATGAACCAACTGTACAGTGTTTCTTAGCCTTTCCGCCTAGATTGGCTTCCTCCACAAGACGCAATCTCCATTGACAAATCATTTGGTTGAGAACCATTCGCCTGAAAAACGATGCGAGTATCTGTGTTTAAAAACCCCAACAGTAACGTTAAATCAGTGTTTGAACCATGAGGTCTTGCTACCGATATTGATGATGAATCGAACAAAAACACATCATCAATATTCGTTGTCTGTCAAGGCTTTTGTAAAAAATGGAGCGGGAAATTAACCCATTCACTTGATAGATGACAGGCATCACCAACCTACTCACATGATCTAGCTGAGTTGGATGAAATTAGGTTTGTTTGCTGATTTGAAATGTCGATAAATAAATGAAAGCGTATGAAGCATTGTTAGATAATTTCTACTTAGAATTTTGCCATTGTAGTGATGAGGACCGCTCATCCATCTTTCACTTGTTTGCGTTTTGATTGTTGAGTTGTTCTCGAGGTAACATTTTAGGGTGTAGGGGCATTGCATATCTGGGGTCTCAGTGTGCATTTCGCCACTAAACTGAATGCTCGAACGAATTCGATCAGTGGCTCAAACGCGACTGCCTTCCTTACACCCCCACCATTTCAGCAGGTCCACAAAACTGGTTCATACTCGTCGACACACGTTATATGCGCGTTATATATACGGAGTGGTACATTCGTGTGTTGAGCCATATCATTGAGCGGCTTGTGTGGATTTGGCTTAGCGGCTAACAGTGTAATTCAGGACTCGATTCCATTGATGGATATCGAAGTTACGTCTGGGTATGTGCCACGAATGTGCTTTTCATATTTGACCAGTTAGTGCAATTGTCCTCGAAAGAAACTTGGATTAGGAAGATGGACACGAGACCCTCAAAAATACTTAGGAAACATCATACCGAGAATGAACTCAGGTGACCAAGGGATATACTGTCTCTTTCCAGCATCAGGATCAACTTTAGCTGGATCAAATGCTACTGATCAGGAAATATATTTCACGCCTTGTCTAAGAATCAGTTTGTGAAACTATATGATTCGTAATGATAAAGCACTTTTCCCAACACCACTCCCTCAATGTGTCGGTCGTAAACCACAATCACTTATTAACCCACGAGAACCGAACAGATATTCAAAATCCCGTTAAACGATTTTAGTGTATTCTCTACGTTTACCTTAAAATCCGACTAACCTGGTATCTCACTCACTCGACTCGAAGTGTGCCAAAAAGTGAAGCATTTTTAATTGGTAAGTCCACAAATTGTTGGCGAAGGCTTGCCGAGCAATGATTTCTCGTTTTTTTTTCAAAATTGAGCATACTAATACACGACCTCTGGACTTTAGCAATTACTTTTTAAGAGCATCACAATGAGTCAAAGTCACCGGCTTCAGAAACAACCGTTTTCAGTAAATTTCGGGGAATGCTGCGTAGAACAGGTTTCTACGATAAATCAACCGAACCCTGTTCGAAAGTGTCTGAATCGAACTGCGGACATCTTAATAGCACGCTGTAATGGATAAAGGTTTCGCTAAAATTCCTAACAATCGTAATGGGTGTGGCGTTCGTGCTGAGGAGACTACAGCTACGGCACATTGATGAGTCAGTTTCATTGAGTTTGAGAATTTAAGCGTTTCACGATTTGCAATCCTCATGCTTTCAGGCAGAATCAAGTGACCAGTACTGTTGAAAATCACTTCAAACTCAGAAATTATAGCTGCCTGGCTTGTGTTAAGTTTCCATCTACTGTCGTAAGCTGTCTTCATACGCAATGTAATTGGAGTACGGGTTAGGGGAAGGGGTTGAGGATTACTCAGCTTCAGAAACAGATGTAGATATGAATGGTTCTGTTGTTAACCTGACTGCAACCGATGAGTGTAACACCAGCTCAGATGTAGTCACCGGATTTCATTCCCATGAGCAAAGATCAATAAGACCATGATGAAAAGTCAGTTTTCTCTGAGATAATAGACAGTGGTTTGACCGATAAGTCGGGGAGCGTGTGACTGAGTAAATCAAGTAGCATGATCAGTTTCCTGTTTGGTCTTTTGTTTTTTCAAGGATGTATGGGGTTACTCCGTCCGATGAAAAAGCGCTTAGCGGTCACCCAGGGGGCATTGTTTTGGAAATCCCATTTCACCCAGGAGCCATTCACGGTTCAGTGGCTAGTTCTCTGAATCTATTTCGGATTACAATTCAGGAAGCAGTACCTCCTAAGGATCTGCTTCGTCAGCCTATTGAAAGTAGCGCGAAATCGAGCGATCTCCATATCACATCCTTCGGTGGACCAGCTATGCCACTTTTTAATGTTTCCGCAACATGCAATCCATATCATATGCTGTCGCGTGCAAGAAAATTATGCAGATTGCTACAAAGGTGGGAGTCCCGAAATCAATCGAGGCACTAGAAGGATGATTACAATGGTAAATGGAATGGCGACATTGCATTTTGTAATCAGATGTGTGGGCAGCAACACGATGTGCCAGATTAAAAGATGTTGACGAATTACGCAGAGGGATCCTAAGTGTGAACAGAGGGGTGTATTTTATGTCGGTGGGATCTCGACCCACTATTCCTCCTTATCTAATGAGATATTGAATTGAGAGGTTGGGGTGGCACATAGGAACAAAGTACCCAAAGGTTGGAACACACCACTCATAACATTATTGAAAGTGCGGGAAAAGCATTTCCCACCCTCCCAAAAAGGGCGTTCGAAGGGCTTTGAGTTAATATGATTCTCCTACGTATACAAGCAGTTGCGATGCTGTGAATGTGTATTAGTTCGCTCCTAGTGTTACTGGGTGTATAAAGGAAAATGGCTATTGAGAAAGACGAATACTCATTGGTTGACGGTATCCTGTCGCACCGAGCGGATGATGGAGTTTCCGATGTGGGGTTAGTATACCTGCCTGCGAATTGCACTTCCGTTTCCCATCCAATGTACCAGAGTGTAGTCTGGTCCTCCGAATGCAAATTTTGGCCATTTTTTCTTGACTTTATGATTGGTCACATAGAGACAAAGTTGATAAGGCTTTGTCGTACCGCATGAGTGTTTTACCAGTAATACGGTCAATTTGGCAAGACAGGAACGAAGTTCATCTGATTACATTAGTGGCAGAAAAAAGCAAAAAAGCCGTTGAAACGAATGCGGTGTGGAAAACTCTTGGACCTTGCTTTCTCTGCGCACGTTATGTGCTCTTAAATTGAAACCATTGTATTACAATGGGTCCATTCGGTCGTTCAAACCTTTCCGCTTACTTGTTGTGCCTTTCGCTTCAGACAAAAAAGTCAACTACTGTGACAGCTAAATGTAGAGATTTAAATTGTTGAACTGGAATTATTAAAGCAACTCTGGATAGCTCTACTGCTATATTACTTACAGTCACTTATACTTACCTGTCTGTTTCTCACTCATAATGATGTGCTTAATGATATCTGTGCAGTCACTAACCCATGTGCCATGAGATTGACCCTACGCAGCTTTGTAAACAAGTGCTTCTTTCCAGATACTAAAAACCCATATTGTCTGGAGCCCCTCGTGGTCTGAGTTACACATTATAAGTATAACAGCCGATTATTCGGCCTGTTGTTTATAAGGCCTGCAAAGGTCAGATGATTACCGGTCTGTTGATCCATTTCAGTAGCAGACCTAGTTGGTGGTCCTTCATACCTGAGCTCATATATCACCATAGATGGGATGATCAAGAAATAAGTAATTCGTACTGAATTATGTTGACGGATAAACAATTTTTTATTTTATACTGGTTTGGTGTCGTCCTTTGAAATGGCTTTAAATGGAAACATGGAGGGAGGCAACCCCCAGAGAATCCTGATAGTAATCCAGCTGGGAACAACTGATAAACTCGGATATAAAGATGCGGATCTAAGCCTTATGGTGAAGAAAAGAATAAAGATGGATGGGAGAGGGACTTAGTGCTAGCTTACTACAATCATTAGAGGTGCGTACAACCTTAGAAACACTCAGGCCACCTGGATAGAGACTGACAGCCGGAACACCAATGAGATCGATTAGCAACCATTTCTTGCAGCATCTCCGACCAGGAGCAATGAGGATGGCGCAGCCCCCAGATTGGAACGCGAGTAGCACCGAAACATCCAAACGTTTCGTGATTTCTTCCATGTCCCTCTGCCAGGTTAAGAGTTGGACACCTCTCAGCTTCTGCCACTGTGAGTTGGATGTGGGAAGCAGCACTCACTTCGGTAAACGATGGCTAGGCATACGCAACACATGTCCCAACCAACGCAGCTTCTCGTGCTGGACACATTCTTCAATGGAAGTACCCACTGCACAACCGAAAACTCGCTTTCTAACTGCCTCGTTACGGATACGCCTACACGAACCAACACGAGCTATGGTTCTGAGACAACGATAGACGAACACCTGAAGACGTGTCAGTCCCAGTGCTCGAACAGGCCAAATCTCACAGAT